TTTACTTCAATAATTATCATATTTTATACACAATACAATTTAAATAATTCTTAGGTTTACAGTAAACGATAGTTATAACAAAATGTAAGGGATTATGTACAATTTGTTCGTCTGAACTTTTATTTAATTATTTGTTATGAGTTTATAAGTTATAACCATACTTAACAAACAATATTAAAAAAACATAATTTAAGATAAATCTAATCATATTGGTATTATTTATTTTGTCTTCATAATATCAAATAGAACATTTAAGTAATTTTTGATATTTTTATTTTAAAATAAGTTAAGAGTATTTTAAAATTGTGAATTTCTATTACACGATATTATTTATAAAAAAAATAATATTTCAACAATAAAGAGTATGAAAAAATGTTGTAACATTGGCATTCATTGAAGAGCAAGAGGGTGTTTAATATAAATTATCTATCCTAAAATGGTAATGAACTTTTGCAGCTCATGCTCATTCAAAACGATACAATGGTGCTCGGTGCAGCCACTGAAGCTCTGTGGCCGTGGCCCGTGAAGTATTATATTGTACATTTTCCAGGACTAGATGTGTACATCCAATTTTGTACAATTTCACTGTCTATATCTCCGTTTCAGGATAAACATTTTAATACAATAGTATACTAGTAGATCTGTATGACACCCGCATGCTATAAAAATTATACACCGGCGCGTCCGTATAGTAGCCCTCAATTATAGATAATTACAGAAATGCAGTTTCATGCATACTTTTAAGACCAAAAATATGGTCCAATCGTCTAATCATAATACCAACGCCAACATTGCTATGCCTAATGTTAATGCAGTCCAAATAACTGTTATAGTTATGGGTACCGGAAATAAAAATAATAACACATCGACCAGAATTTCGCAGCTTTGAACTAAGCTTAGATAGTGCGTTATCTTTTGTCCTATTACATAGGTAAACAATTGGTTGTCACAAAAACCAATATAGTATATACCGCTGAATATTTACAAGATCTTATTAGGCACGACCCATGTTCTGATATCTCAGTTATCAAACTTATAATCCAATGGGAGTTATTCGTTTCCGTCAAAATACTGTTGTCCAATCTAATATTTTCTCTAAGGTTTTATTTTAAGAAAAGTGACGATAGTTAAAAATAAAGAAATGTATTTATACCATAAGGTACCTAACATTGAAAAAAATTAAGAATAAAAATTTGTATAAAAAAATGTTTGTGTAATCACCAAAAGGTAACATTAAATATTTCGAGAAAAATAATATGACCTTTAGTAGAATTTTTTGAACTACATAATAGACTTGAAATTAAATTTATTCAAATAGATGCAAATTTTAATACTTAACCTTTTTATTTTCGTGTTTGCTCAGCATTAAAATTTTTTGATGTAATTACACCCATTCTTGAATTTAGTAATATTTAAGTTTTTTTTGTTTTGAAAATTAAATGATATATAATAGAATGTGCAATTAAATAAATAAATCGTTAATTAGTATAAAAATTGTTTCAGTATTTTTTTTCTTTTACGACTAGAAAGTCTATAGGTATATTATATTCCTAAAATATATCGTATACAGAAAAAATGAAAATTAATAAAAAAATAATCACAAGATAATATAATACAAGATACAATATCCACAAGGTTCAATTATGTAAACCTACATAGTACTATTGTTATATATAGCCATTATGTTTTTATTATTATGTAAAATAATAAGTATAATATTTCAAACTAGTATAGGTACTACCATAAATAATACTGTTTAACGACCAATTATTATTGGATATTTAAACTTATATAATCTTAATAATATTTTTAATTAAGACTACAAATAATACAAGTATACAATTATCAATGTAAAATTTAGCCGTAGTTATATATTATGTTTATTTAATTATTTATTATATATGACATGTGCTTAGAAAATAAAATGGTAAATTCTATCGCGGGTGGTTCTTATCAGGGCGACCTTTTAAATAACATGATTGTGGATGATTATAGCTTAACAAATAACAACGGACCTCCAAAAATGACACGACTGTAGACGTATGTTGCCAAATTTATAAATAATACTTCGATAATGTGTGAATTTTGAGCGTGTTAAAAGTGATATGTTACAAGTCATTTCTGTTAAATACAGTAGTTAAGTGTTTTTTTTTTTTTTTTTGAAACTATTGAAAACTTCTTCTGCTGAAGTAAAGCAATAATCTTGGAGGATTTCGTCATAAAATCATTTTACTCTTCAGCTTCCTTTTTCTTGAAATTTTTGTGGTACGCCTTATTTTTTTGCAATTTCTACTGCTATTTCAAAAAAATCACTGTATTGTGACCTATATTTTTGAAGATTTATCGACACAGAATTAAGCAAAGAAAGTAGAAACTGCTGTGCTCAATTCTCGTTTAGAAGACTGAAAAACTTTTGATAACAAAATTTATAGTTTCCAGAATTTTGCCAATGAAAATTACACTAAATATAAATTGAAAATCTTCCATATGAACTTTTAAATAATTTGCTTTAAATATTTCGTCTTTATTTTTGCTTCTAAGAATTATTTGCGATAAATATTTTAATATATCAACGTAACGTTGTCAAATAGCTGATAAAGAATCATACCTTGATGACCAACGGACAATGAGTGATAGTAGTGGTACATAATCTTTATAATGTAATTGAAATATCTAATGAATTTAAAGATAAAATTAATTTCCAGCGTTTAATTTGAAAAAAATGTATACATTTTTTCCACGAGTCCAAAGAAAGTTTTTACTTTCGTTGATGAATGCATTGCATTGTTTAAAACTAAGTTCAAATTATGTAAACTCAATGGATATATGTTGCCAATTTCCGTTTAGATTTTAACCTAGCATAAACACCTGAATATACACCACTCATGTTGGCAGCCTCATCAAACCCTTTACCATGAAGTTTTGACAAATTTAAATTATTTTTTGTGATACAATTAATAATAGATTAGCTACCGTCACAAATGTATAGTACATCACAGAAATACAATATCTATTTATATTTTATAACAATGATATACCATATCTGATTACTGATATCAGATTGAGAAAATGAGAACCATTTAAAATTGAAAACAATTTTTTACTTTATCGTACATAACTGTATTTACTATTTATTAATTTTTTTTTTTTTGTGGAATGTTGATCAATAATGGATCCTCCCAAGCCCTGGGCCCGTGGTATTTTCATTCATCGCACACATGTATGACACGCCTCTGCATAGGTATAATGTACAAGGATAAAAATAAATTGACAACTAATCTGATAGTCATAACACTCATAATACTTTTAACACCTATGTAAACAGAGTATTTCACCATATTTGCCTGTAGTTTGTGTCAATATTTTTTTTTTTTGCTTTCATTGATATTTTTAAAATATGATTAAAAGTTTTTACCGTATCAGATAACCAAAATTTTTATGATTTTTATAGTCTTCAAATTGTATAATCAATTAATGATTTAGTATATTTGTTAATTTATTGTCTTAGTGTTTTAAATATTTTGCCAATATTTGCCTACAGTTATGATGAGTATCATATTTTTAACATAGGTAATTTGTTCAATTGAAGGTTATTTTCCTCAAATGTTGTGGTAATTTTGGTTTATGAACATACACATACTGTAATCTTCTCTGTAAGACGTTTAACACTTCAATTTTAGAGTTTATATTGTTTCTAAACTTTCTCAACATACTGTATGCATCTTTAAATTAGATAATTGTCTTTCATTATCATACGTAATAATAATAAGTAATAACAAAAAAGATATTCAATATAATTAATTTAATATTATATTTTAAAAGCAATTGTACATCCTATCAAATAAAAATAATATCGCGACAATATACCTAATTTATTTTTCAGTGATTTAGTAGTATATTATTATTATTATTTATTAATTATTAGTATACATACTGTTTTTTGTGTATTTTTATGTGTTATATAGCGCGTTTCAGTTATTAAAAAATATATTTTACAAACAAATTATATCAAAATATTAGGTACATTCAAGCACAACATATTGTATCAGTTGTTCTACTCGTTCTGCAAATTTGTTTATCATTATCAATCGTCGAGTGAAAAGTTTATTTTAAACAATCAAGATGGTTTAAAAACTTAGAGATGTCATAATGTTAGATTGTAATTCCTTATAGGCTATAGCATATAAATATGCACACCTGATAAAAATATTATATGTATACACAATATAAAATTAAGTTTCCCTTTTTAGCGATGGAAATATATTATTATTGAAAGACAAAGATGGGCTGCAGTGGATTCATGTATAATATGTACTGCAATTACATGTAATGATTAATAATAATATAATGATTAACAAAAGTACATAAATGACTAATGAGTAATGTAAGTCACATTATAGATACCTACTTATGTAATAAAAAAAATAATTAACAATAAAACAAATCGATTTAATTTTAATCACTTTTAAAATTCGTTTTACAAACATAAGAAAATGTATTAATAATAAAAATAACTGACCAGTGACCACATACAAAATGAAAATAATAGGAGCAGTTTTAGGAGTATTTTGAGTAAACAAATATAGTTGTGTATTTTAGAGATTAATTTAATTCAACACTTATAAGATTTATCTACAATATTGTTTGAAATAATGTACACGTAATAATATAAATTATACACATTGCATGAGAATGAAATGTGCCTACGTTCATCAGTAACCCACGTTCCAAACTTAAATTAGCACATAGCGTAGCGTGTGTGTATAGTATATAGGTACATAGAGTTCCTCTACCAATCTAATCCACAACAAATTTAAACAAAAACCTATCCCCTTCTTCAGTCACACCTCCCCTCCACTGCTTGGCGTATTCTAATATTATTTCGTTGAACCGCCGTCACAGCATTCATTTGTCGAAGGTCGATCCCTCTAAAATAGTATTTATTGTTATTATTATTATTATTATTATTATTACTATTATCATCATATCACGATAATTCTCATACTGAGACTAGGTTCATTGGCAACTGGTTACAGCGACATATCGTTCAGTCGCTGCTAAGTAGTGCTTAGGTGTTATGTGTGCAGTAGTATAATATTCATCTAATTCTGTTTCGTGCAAAAATTTCGTCTGTACTAGTGTCACGGTCACAGTTGAAAGCAATAATAATACTAAAATCAAAAATGGAGGACGAAGATTCCATGTGGAAAGTATTTTACAATCGGGTACAGCGGAAATTTAGCGCCCAGAGTATTTCGCCGGACATACAGTAATATATTATATTTAAATATCTGTAAATTAATTTTAATTATGCATAAATAATAGTTTAATGATTTGTCTTATTATTATAATAAGACAAATATATATATATATAATTATTATTACGTATTAGTTACTGAGATCTGTGGCCGTGGCTAGTGCAAAGGATAACTGCCTACTATCTAGTCATGAAGTGTGTAATTAATTTTTACTTATTTATTTTTAGATATCTCATTTGCCTTAAGGTCAGCCTCGTTACTATATTACTAAAATATTATAATTCAATATTGAAATTATGTGATTTATGTTATTAATTTAAACTTGGTATGTTTTAATATAAATACATAAAATATTATCATATTATAGTAGTTACGTTCCATAGTTTTAGAAAATTTTTAATTTAAAAGAAATCATTAAAAATTGCGGGTGTCTATAAACTATAATTCCCTAGCTTTACAGTTAGACAGTCTATTACATAACAATAACCTATACTTACAATTAATAAATATTTTTTACATGGGCGAATGTCATGTACAACGAATTAGGGAAGGCAATCGTCGCCATTACTACCCTCCTACTCTAAAAAATATGTGTTGTCGAACTATACAATATAGTAGGTACCTATACATATAAATATTTTTAATTTTTATCATGAATTTATTCTCTGTTTTGCTATGTACTATATCAAACAACAAATTGAATTGGTAACATTTTTTTTTTTTAAAAAAAAAAAAAAAATAATATATAAATATATATATATATTTTAATATTTTTCGAAATATTAGTGTCTTTCGTAACAAAATGTTCTATATATTATATTGTTTTATTATAGCTAAATTATTATACAACAATTCACTCAAAATCATATATTAGATGATTAGACCAAAAAATAAAATAATATTGTAGTTATTTACAAATAAAAATTAATAATATAATTGAATGAATCACATGCTTAAATTATTTACATGTAATATGTTGTATTAAGTAAACAATTAAATAATATATTACCATTTAGTAATTTATAATAAAAAAATAATTATTATAGTACTTTCCTATAATTTTTATTAACTATGTTTAGCCTTCTTCCTTTGAAAATTTATTAGTTACGCTAGTGATATATAATATTTAAATTATTTTGATACTTAATTTAGGCATATAAAATCTAATTATAGTTTGCATGAGACATTTTTTTAAAATTTTTTATCGTACATTAAAAAATATTATAAAATGTATCAATGATAGGTGATAGTAGTATACTTATCATCTACCTAAGTATCATATTTCTTTTATGTGTACCTAAATTGTTTTTAGTAATTTTTTATTAAACGCTCAATTGCGTAAGCAACTTAATTGCCATTTAAATACATCAAAACAAGTAAAATATGTAGTTTATTAAAAAATTAGCTACATAAATATTAATTTATTTAAAATAATTTAGAAACTGATTAATAGTATTATCGATAGGAATTTGTAAATAATAATTATTAATACATTTATGATTTATCCATGTATTATTATTAACAGCTGGTCCTATGTAATTTGGTATTATGTTAATTCGAGTTTATTGCTAGAGCTGAATGATTTAATATTCAGGGATATCTTATATTTTTTTTTAATTGAGCTGAATCTATGATGCATTTCAACCTTACAAGCCAAAATTGTTTGAGGAGGAGTAGTAAGTAGCGACGTAATTAAGTTTAAAAGATAAATTAATTATTTTATTATTATTTTATTCCATCTTAGTTTTATTTGAAAAAAAAATAAAATCATTTTTTAATTTAATTTGTATTGAATTATTACTTTTATCACAATAATAACTCGGATATTTTTTAGTTAGGATCTTAAAGTTTAAGATCATAATATCAGTTAGTCTACCGAGACAGTTCAAAAAGCTTCATGCGTCGTAAATTGGAGAATTCTGAATTTTACAAAATATGTTAAGTAAATGGTTTTTCTGTTACTCAGAAAGTGCTTAACAATACTTTTTGTACACATTATTGTTAATTGGTGAATGTAAACAACATTAGTCATATTTAAAATATCCAAAATAAATGTGTACATTTATACATTATTTTGTTTATTAACCTACCTATTATATTGTATATTATATAAAAATACCTTTGCGTATTATGCATAAAAATGAAAAGTGACAAAATAAATCATAATGAAATAAATATATAATAGTAAATTATACCTAAGTATAAGAATTCTTATGTACAAAAATGTATGTTGTAATATATAATAATTGTTCATAGATTATTTATTTTTAATTGGTTTTTGAAATCATTATTGTGAAAAATGTGTTAAGAAATGGAACACAGTAGACATGTAGTATTTATAGTCAACATAATATTAATGGATGTAGAATAGTAATAGTTTTATTTTGAATTATTGCTTATAAATTTATGATAACAGAAAACATTTAAAAATAATAATAAAAATCAATAAATATTGAATTTAAATATTATCAATTATACGGAGGCTTTATTAAGTACTGGGAAAGAAAGAAGGAGAAATATTTGATATTTTGGCAGAGTTAATTTTTTATGGTTTTTTTTTTATTTAAAAACTGATTTTATGGTTTAATTTCAACTAATAGACAATATACTAATAAAAATCATTTTTAGTAACGTAGCAATAAGTATAAGCAAGATCATACTTGATGGAGGTTGACGTAAAAAAAAAAAAAATGGAATATAATATTAATACGGTATAGATTAAATTTCAAAATCAATATTTATTTACAATGCAGATAGGAATCTATATTAAAGGGGCGAATGTTCCTATACGAGATCTAGCTAATAAAAAAATACATATGTAAGTTCCTACGTGGTAAAAAAGGTGCGTATGTGACAGAAAATATATATATTTAAGTAATAAAAAAATGCAACTATTGCAATTCCAAGTAGGCTCGTTACTATTTTTTTTTCTATAGCAATGTTTGTTTACATAAGACCCACGAAAATCACGTTGGCTTCCGTTTTTATAATATTATAACAAATAGGGATACACATTATCAACATCTAGTCAGATTACGGATACGGTTTTAACTTTTAGAATCCAATACTTCATACCGTAGGGATACAGTAGACCAAGGTTAAATACTCAGGTATATATTATCAGCAATAATACTAAAATCCGTTCTAATAAGCGCATTCATGGAATAATAAACAAATCTTAATTTATTATATGGTAATATGATGTCAGCCGACAAGGATTTTTATCGGCCAAACTTGAAACTAGTTATAACCACAGATATATACTAATACTAGATAGCCGTCTTCTTGTTATCAGTGAAACACGCCGCCATATGCAAAGAATACTCTCGGTAAACAAACGTTATCACTTAGTAAACAACAACAATAATATTATGATATTCTGTTCAGTCGTTCAGTATTCTAGTTGAATAATAAATTACTTATCGTTGGTAAATAGTAGTGCCTACCTACTTATATTTGTATTACCTACTGTTTAATAATTGTTATTTTTGTTAATAATATAAGTAATTATAATAAGGTAGTACCTGTAATTTATATCCTAGTATTTTTGACAATGTTTCCTTATTTCATATTTCATAATTCATAAAACATTACAATTTAGTTAAATCCCAAATTTACGTAGATTAGTATAAATACATACTGTATAGGTTAATTAACAGTTTTGTCTAATACTATAAAACAGAGAACTGAAAAAGTGAGAAATAATAAAATATAGGTAAGTACTAAGTAATACAATGATATAAATAATAAATGTCTATAATATATAATAATATGTATTATACTGATAAAAGTCTAATATTGATAACGTTTGTTTACCGAGTTGTATTCTTTGCATATGGCGTCGTTTTCAATTATTTTGCGGCGGTGTATACGAAGACGGCTATCTAGTATTAGTATATATCTGTGGTTATAACTGTGACAAAAGTGATAAAAGTTCCTACCGGCTGACGTCATGACATGCGTATCACAGAGTTGCTGACATACCTATTTAGCCATGCAGTAGACCGCCCAGCTGATTGAGTGTCGTTTCTAGTTTCTGTATTGTTCTGTGGTACAAATGTACAATGGATAAACGAATAGTACGTTATGAATATATGACGAAAAGTTTCAAGTTCCTATCAATAAAATAACTGAAATCGTTCATTAGTAGTTAAGACTACTTGCGTGTTCAAATTATTTGAACTTTAAATGTTTATAAAGAAAATTCTGATATTTATGTATGATATTGGTTGCTATCACAGGCGTGCGCAGATTTTAAAAGTAGGTAGTGCCTATATATTATAATCGGCCATATATATTTACAATATTAGACTCTTTTTTTTAAGTTTAATGTGCTTTTAATATACATATTATAATAGAATGATACAAGTTGCACCTACCGTACATCATTAATGAGAAAGTAGTCTGGCGGGTTAACAATTAAGTTAAAATACAATCAAAAAGGAAAAATAAATGAATAATTATATTATCGATAATAGATGATCACAAGTTTTATTTTGTAAATTGAACTATTGGTTTCTTAGTATACAATTCCAGTTAGTTCATAATAATTGTTAATATATGATACTAGTCACTACACGTCTACACGTTAAACTACATACACACTTTCAATAATAAAGTGTACCACAGTAAATTATCATGTTTTCATTTTTACTATAAAACTATAATCTAAAATTGATTTTAGTGAACAAGGTATATTTATTATAATTATTAATAATATATGAGAAATTTGATTGAGAAATTGGGCATTCCGGCCCATGAGATTCATTGGGTGTGCCTGGGCACACCGTGCACGTCTGGTTGCTATGAAAAGTATTTATATTCATATTATATTAAATTTTCAAGTCTTAAGAATCTATTAATTAAAAAATGTTATTAATCTTTAATTAAACATTAAAACATTAATTTATTGCGATTCGTAAGTCATAATTAGCTTGGAATGTACATAATAGTTTGATAAATTTACAAAACCTTGGTATTTCAGAATCATTATTTTTTTAAATTTAATAGCATTGTATATTTGTATTATATCATAATAACTCATAAATATGGAGTTTGTGTTTAGAAAAAAATTTTTGAAATAATAATAATTGTTACTTACTAAATGGATAATAATAATATATGTAAACATTGTTCGTATAGCATAAACAGATTAGAGTATTAATAGATACAATTATGCGTATAATAAACTATTATTTTTTTTTATCTAAGCAACAACATGTATTCAAATTAAATTGGTAGATAAACGTTATTTGGGAGTTTTTTTTTATTTAATATTTTAAGTATAAGTACTAGTATAGGTTTTTCTCTAATCACCTTGAGATTATAAGTAATTATTTTAAAATTTGAAATGTTTCAATACCCTACGGTTCATCCGTATTATTATTCGAATAATAATTTTGTTAAAACACATAACATGTGTCTTAAATGATTTGAAAAAGTATTTTAAGAATGATAATAGGGGAAGGGTTAAGTTTAGGCTAACTTCATATCAAAAACCACTCGATGACCTTAGGTATTCGTTATTTGTTGGTTATTACTGTTATTAGCTATATGACTATTTATTTATCTCTTTGAATTATACCACATACCTACAGAGCATCAAACGATTTAACAAATATACAAAGTATTGTGCATTCATTTTGTTTCTATTTATCTATGATTTTTCATTTGGAAAATTAAAAACTAACCTGTTTCACCCAATTTAAGTGTCTGAGAATACCTTATACGTATACTGAAATTCTGCTATATATACTTTAATCTTAGATATTTTGAGTGGGTGTGTGGTGTGTGAGTCATTAAGATATACATAGGTATACGTTATATATCTTAATTCGCAGTGTTAGTAAAAGTAAATCGTCTGCATAGTATTATAGTTTTCTTCTTATTTGACTATTCGCCAATTTCAATATTACATATTTGTTAAACTAGCATTATTTGTATTCATCGTATATAATCAGTTACTAGGTACTATCTACTTCATTTATAATGAATACATTTTATAATTTATTTGTAGTATCAAAATCATGCCTAAATAATATATGATTTATTCTGTAAGATAGGTTAAAGGTTACGGAAAATAAACATAATATATTTATATATTACTTAAGTATATCTAAATGAAATCATTAGCTAACCAAAACTATTATCTCCGAGTCATGTGACCAAATAGTAAATACAATAAGATAATTATTAGTTAGGTGCAGGTATTTTCACTCAAACACATGACACATTTGTTGAAAATGCACTATATGCTATTGTGCTACATTATACAATGTTAGCACATATTTTTTAATATTTATACAATATACTCGTAAGTCTGTAAAACCTACTTCTATTATTTACCTAATAATCACTCAACAAAACTTCAAGGTCTTCTTCCAGCGTGGAAAACGATCGTTAAGTTATTAAATATCATAACTCATAAGAAATAAAACTGTATTAAAAGTACAAATATAAAACGATTATAATTTATTAGTAAATTTAGATTACATATGGAAATATATTGTTTGTCTAAAATATTAATGTTTTTTTCTATCAACAAATTATTATAAATTATGTTCTAAAAAGACAGTCGGGAATTAATAATCAGTAAAAATTAAAAGACGAAAAATTACGGAGTATATAGAATAAAATGAAATAAAGACAGAATAGTTGTGTAAGACAATTGAATAGAACTTGAATAGAAAGGTTGTAGGTGAAGAAAACGTAGGATGAGTGCGTGGGTACTTAAAGAACGTGTAGAGATTTTCGTTCTAGGAATAGAGAGGTCAGAGGTCAAATGTTAGACGAGTATTTTGTTTGCATTATTCCCTCTCTTACTAAGTAGAGATTTATAGATCGGATCAGAAATCCTTTGAAGTTGACAGCATGCAGCCATGAAAGTTCCTAACAAATTGGGATATTTAGTAGAATTTTTCAAAGGATTTAATTTTAAATTTCACAACATTCAATTGTCAAAGTGATTTTTTTTACATTTATGCTTAAAACAATAATATGAAGAAAACTAAATCAAAATATAATTTTGTAAAATTAACATTGTAATTAATGTTATTATACTAGGAATGAGAAGTTATAGGAGATAAAATTGGTCAAATATACATAGAAATATGCACAAAAAAACGAAAATACGCACAAAAATTATTTTATATTAATATATTATTAAGTATTTACTATTCTTACTAAATTACTAACTATTATTTATTAAATTATACTGCCAGATCACAAAAGAAATGTAGATTTATCAAAAAGTTTTGCTATTGTTGAAAAGTTAGCCTTTTTTTAGAACTTTAGATGTTCATAAAAATATTTCACCTGGCCCATCAACCAATACTGTGCCGACAAAAACATTTATAATAAATCTACCTTTTAAATATTTTCACCAAATTTTGTAATGTATTTATTTACATTAAGCACTTTCGGAATTTTAAATAAATTAAATATTTAACAAAACAACGAACATACGAATAATAACGAGAACATAAACGACGAACGATAGTGAATTGAATCAAATTTTATTTTTGACAGTTATGAAAGAAAAAATAATTGCATTATACTCGATAATATGAAAACATCAAATAATAGTCCTATAACAAATGGAAAAAAAAATATGCAATTTCTTTAACTTCTCTGTCTTTACTTATAATTATTAAGTAATATACGAACATAGTAATTAGTAATTACAATGTCTAATGAAATTCGCAACGAATAGACACAATAAGCACGTATTATTGTAGACTGTAGTTAAATGACATATTATTCCTTACCTAATAATAACACAACAATTATTATTGAAAGATATTATTAAAAAAAATTATTTTATTATTTTATATTTTTAAGAAATTTTTTCACTAGGAAAATCAAAATACCTATACTCGTATCTTTTTACATACATTTTAAGTTTATGTACGTGTATACTGTATATCCTTAAATCATAAACGCCATTAATACATGTATTATGTAATGCAATGTATCTTCAATATCGACAATCGTGATCTACATATTATGTCATTATTAGTTAACCATTTAATGCATTTCATCTAAACTTGCGTATATAATTTTCTTTATCACGAATTTAATTGTATAATTTAATTGTCAATAGTCATACGAGTACAATTCGTTATCAAAATTATGTTGATATTGACTTTTTAGTATTTAATAATATCATATCATTCATATCTTTCAAAAATATTCTTGAATCAAAATTATTTAATTTTATTTTTATGTTATCATAATTAATTTATATTATTTATTGATTCCTACAATTTACAAGTTAAATTAATTTATTTCAGTGTTACTATATTATATAAATATATAATATATGTATTTATTTTTTGACAGAATTTATAAAATTATAAAATTTAAAGGTAAGAATTCTATTTAGGACATCTCATAGGATTTTATCAATATAATAATTTTAAATTGAGTTATGAGCATTTTAAAATTGTAATATCTTACATACACCGTAGCGTCCGTAGCTATTCACTAAGTTAGAAGCTTATTGTGTTGTTAATTGCCTTTTATTTCTCCATAATCTTCCACTTAAATACATTATCAACATTTTTAGATAAAAGTGTTGTTTATTAAATTGAAACATTGTAAATAATTGGTGTATATTAATTATGAAATATTGATTAAAATAATCAATACTAAATACCTAAATGTTTGCTTTATTTTAAGAATTTTATTTATTTTATTAAAAATGTAATTCAATTATTTTTAAATGTTATTTTTACAGAGTTGAGCAAATAGACGGCGGATTTTTTGAACGTTATGGATCTGGATTCAAGAATAATTTTGAAGAGGACACCATTATTGCTGATAAGGATAAATTCGCTACTCTAAATGAAAGGGAAATTTCGAAAGTAGACAATGATATTGCCGAGAAGACTCAACTATCTTACAAAGAGTTATTATCGTCATTATTAGAATTAAATGCAAGTATTTTTTTTTTTTTTTGTATTTACCTAGAGGCTAGAAAAAACTAACCTAATTTTTTTGATTTTCTCGTATATTTAAAAATATATTGTTTACCTAAAAAATTCATACTTTAAACTTATTTACTCTTCGTTAGAATAATTGTTCACCTCCTATGATTAATAAATTAATTTAAAAATTGCACTAAGTATCTATTATTTAGATCCCTATTTATATATTAGTAATATTACTATATACGAATATTTTACACTCTTACCTAGTCTTCGATAAGATCTACGCAACAAACTTTTATCCTCAAATGATCGTTTTCGTCCCCTCCGGTTACGCAATTTGTAATTTATAATCACGCTAAATTAGCTGCTAAACTAATGAATATTTACATTAACTTTTCATCAAACCAACTTGAATATATGGAGTCAATTTCTTTAAGGGGCTCTGTCTGCTCTGATAGTCTGATGATCAGTAAAACTTTTAAATACCAGTCTTATTCAATTTTTTAATGTAAAATTTTAAACATTTTAGCTATAACAGATGCACCATGCTATGTATCAAATCACTCCATAATTAGTACCTACTCAATGACCTTGGAATCTAACCAATGACGTAATAAAACGCATAAATAAAATAAATCATAAACGATTTAACAAATATCCAAAATCACATAAATTTACTAATTAAAAAGACTTGCATCAACTAATATAACCTGGTAATTCCCAAAATAGCTTAAAGAGATGGTGATGCTGTAATCTGCTAATTTATAATAGTTACTTATAAATTATAATGATGTACTAAGTAAAACCAGTCTTATTCGGACCCTTGATAAGACGGAATCCTGTTGTATGTGGAAATTTATTATGGTCCCGACAGATTTTTATAATTTAATATAGGGTTAAATCCTTGATAAAACGGAAAGCTATTTTTTGGTCCCGTAAATCATATACATCTTTAACAAATGAAAAATATATCATAAAATGAACAAAAATATTTTTGAAACCCTTATTTGTTTTGTTATTAAACAATTATTTTAATTTTTATTATTGACCAGAAAATGTTACAACTTTAAATCTTAATCATACGGAATATTGTAATTCTTTAGTACGGAATTTTCCTTTTTATTCAGTTAGATGAAAACCTGCCTAAAACAAAAACTTTTATTGGTCCCGTGCAATTCCACATAAAACCGGTTTTACTGTAGTTGTATGAATATAGCAATTCTAATAGGTAATTTATTTTATTACTCAATAATTTTTAATTAACACATTGTTTTACTCATGTCGAAGTTCCTTTCATTTTTTCCATACGTACTTATTATTTATTAATATATAATGTATATTTAAAATTAATATGTTTTTTTTTATATTTTGATAATCAATAACAAATTGCTTTTAGTATATACTTACACTTTTTTATTCAAAATTTTTTGCAATATAATAAATAAAAATAGTGAGTGTAAAATGCAGCTATTTTATTTGTTCATTAAATTGTAACAAATTTTAAAATAAAAAATATTACTAAAGCAGAATATTATTATTTTTGATAATTTTTAATGAGTAAATAATGTTAATTTGTTATTATTTTACTATTAGATATAATATAACTATTATTATGTATTTAAAGTTTAAATAAGTGGAGCAGATCAATATTTTATTAATTATCTATTATTATAAGTGCCAAACTACTCCACTCATTAAAAACAATAAAAACTGAAATATTTATAATTCTCAACTAACTAACAGCTAATTAAAAATTTGATTTTTATGTATCGAAATATTGTAAACAATTAAATATCAAAATAATCAAGAAAAAAATCCTGCATAGGGTATAAAATCAAAAATGTATATTGTCTTCCAAAAAAATAAAATGAAAATAATAAAAATATTTGTTTTGTAATAATTTCAAATTATTTAAAATATAATATTATAAAAAAAACTTTTATTTTTTCGAGATAATCCGTGTTTACTGTTAAAAGAATCGTCCTGTTTAGTAACAAACTGATATGGTTGCTTAATTCTTAACTATATAGTATAAATACATATGCACAATAATCACATATAAATTATTATGATTTTCAACTATTAAATTTTAGTTCTTTATTGATTTTTTATACATTTAACATAAAAATGTTTAGTCATTTTAGTGAATTTTTTGTTATACAATGTTTTATGTTAAATTATGTATTTTATTAAAAAGACGTTTTCAATATAAAACATTATAATTACATGTTGTATTTACTCACCTTCCGGTTTGAAATTCTTTAATTATTTTCTACAACCTATGTAATTAATATTAATAACATGGTATTTTAATTAATAATTAACAGAATGCTTGGGAACTGTGTTTAATGATGAATTGAAATTTGAAAATAAATATAAAATTATACTTATTAATTTATTTAAGTAAAAATACAGCTATATAAATAATTTATTATTTCCCAATACAATATATACTTAATATTAATATATATATATTGATAATAAATATATATTTTGAGTAAAATTTCTCGGTAAATAATCATGTAACATAGTTAAACCTTTATGTACCTATGTTGTTGGTATAGATCTTTTTTATAAATTATCTACATAAAACATTTTATAATAAATTGGAATAGACATTAGGCATTTTAAAATTACAATTTATTAGAGATAGAGAGTATAGAGTTGTGTATTGTTTTACATATTTTGACAAATATTATGTAGGTAAAAGTACTTAATATTTTTATTGTTGTTACATAATGTATTATTGCTTATTATAAATATAAAAACCATCAATGGAATTTTAATGGTTAAACAATTTAGAAGTCAATCATTAACAAATATAAATCCAAATAACAAATAAGAAAATACGAAATCTAATGGTAAACATGTGTGGTGTTTTCGCATATAAATCACCCATCCATGTTAAGTAAGACATCACTGATTGGTTTTTAATTAGACACGTGTGATTTAAGATTATAAAACACTAAGAATGTCATGTCAAATAAAAATAACAATGTTCTATACTTCATAGGTTCCATATATAAACAAAATTACAGTATTTAAAACATCATTTTGTCAAATTAAGTGAAAATATTACACGAATAAATAAATTTAATTAAACATTTTTTCAGAAATAGTAAACGACTAATGACAGTTAAGTTAAAATACATAATTTATGTACACAAAAATAGCTAAATTAAAATAACCAAATATAGTTATAGATACATTATAACAAAGTATAATTCTCATTATTGTCGAGTTAGGTTGTACACATAGCATTTATAAATAATTTAATCTTTAACAAAGTTTTGCTATATTTTTAACTAATTTCAATATACATAACTAGAAAATCATGAATCAAAAACCTGACTATGTAAATATTAACAAAATAATGTAAAATATATTAATATAAAACACTTATCAAAAAAATATATATTTAGAAACTATCAATCGATAATACATACATATCGATAGGTAGATAATATTGGTAAAATACCCATAGCTTAAGTAATATAAATATTAATATTTAGTTTCAACTTTTAATGTTTATAATATAGATAAACAGTTATTATTAAAAATAAATGGACGTTTAAAATATTTTTTATTTATACTTTCACTAACATAATAGATTTTTTAGCCCAATAAAAATGACATACCTAACATACAAAATACAATTTAAAAAATAATAATTTATCGTCACATTAATTTAACAATATTTTTATCTAAACATTATTTAATAGTGAATTTGTATCTGCTAAGTATTAATATTTAATCGTGTTAATGAACTGTCTCAATAAATATTATCTGATTTTAAAATTATATTAGTTATTATATAATTTATAGTTTTATAAAAATAAAACAATAAACAATCATAAATGGATTATAAACATTTGTATATACTCGTTATTTTGACGTTTATCGAGATTCGTATTAAAAAAATTTCAATATAAAATATACGGGGGCGGAGTTTGGTTTAGGTCACTGTTTGGCACTATAGCAGATTACCACAGAAATAGCACATTTGGCTTGAGCAGCACACGCGTACGATTTATCTTTAGAAGTGCTATTTCATTTGAGTATTCAACACAGTTTTTTCACTCTCGAATAACTCAATCATTCTCCGAAATTTTGTATAAAATGAAGTCTAATTTTAAAGCAAAACATTTTAACTTTAGGGGTGTTAAAAAAGAAGAAATGCAAAGAAGAAATGAAAATAAAATAGAGTTTATGACTGTTTGTCTAGTTGATATTTTATAATAAATATACTACAAAGACGTCAAAAGTTTAATGGTATAAATATATTTTTCTATTACAGATAAACGAATTATACGAAGAAGTATTGCACGAAATATTACATTGTATTGGGAAGGAAAAAAGTTGTTTAAATCAAGAAAATATAATCGAATTTGCCCGAAAAGCATTTAAAATTGAACAAGATACTCACGAAGCTATTTATAAAGCTGTTATAGAAAAAGAAGTAAACTTCTATCAATTTTATCCTAATTAATAATTATTATAAATCCAGCGATAAGTAATAACTAAATTATTAATGTTTAATATCTGTTTAAAAGGCTCCAAACATAATGTTAAACATTGAAATCATCGAAGCGAAAGATATAAAACCAAAAGATGCAAATGGTTTCAGTGATCCATTTTGTACCTTATTTTTGTCTTCTACCCAACAACATAGATATAACACGTCGGTGAAAAGTCAAACTCTGCGGCCAGTCTGGGAAGAACACTTTTCACTGTAAGAATTTCCAAAAACATTTATTACATATAATATTAGAAAAAAAAAATGAAAACTAGGTATTTAATTTAGGCCAGTCGAGACTCCTGCTGATGATATTTTATGTGTGGAAGTTTGGGACTTTGATCCGGCGGAAACAGTAAAAGAAAAAGTTACAAAAGTCGGCGACATTAAAGGATTTAAAGGAATGAGAAGGTTTATGAAAGAAATCGCGGTGACTGCTACGAACGGTAAACACGATAATGAAATTATTGGCGGTACGCTAATACCACTTAAGGTAATTATTATATATTTATTTTTTCACTTTTTCTTAGCGACTGACAGTTAAACATATTTTTTTGTTTGTTATTATATACAGACAATACCTTCTCGAGGTCAAATAGCTTGGTACAGTTTGGAGAAAAAAGGCAAGGGCAAGCCGCAGGGGAATTTGTTATTAAAATTGTCGTTTGGCAGTGAAAAAAATAAACAAGTTGCTGCTCAAGAACATAGACACCTACTACGAGTATTGTTAGCATACCAAATGAATGTACAAAAGGTGAATTTTCATTTAAGATAAATTAAATTAAAACTAAATCTAATATTTAATTTTAGCCTGAAATGAATTCGTGGAAGGGTGATTTTTTACCTGAGTCTAGCTTAATAATTCAACAGCATGTTGCACAAAGTAATATCAGCACTGTTGACGAGTGTTTGAGCCAATGGATAGAATACATTAACGCTCATGTGTTGAGTCCTGTGGTAAATTTTAAAGTATTTTCGGACATACTAGACATTTTAGTTAAATCCATAACTACTGGACATTTATCCAATGAAGAGGTAAATAATTATTACTGACGTTTTAATGTAAATTTTTAATAAATATTTATATTATGATGTTCAGTTAAAAATGTTCTGGCAATCGTCTAAAAAAATATTACCATTTTGCTTTAATGCTATTCGAACAATACGTAAAAAATCTGCAGATGACGAACAGTTATTGAATCAAATAGAATACGTTTTAAAGTAAATTTAATGATATTATTTTAGGAAGACGTTGTTATTAAATGCAATTTTGAAATTTTTAGTATATTACAAAGTCTATCATTGTTGGAGTTACCAAGTGACTTAGACCTCTTTCCATCTGATGTTTATGGTTGGTTGTTACCATGCGAACACGTCAGAGACATAAAGAGTACATTGCACGATGCTGTCGTCCATGGTGCTGTGGATTGGTTAGAATTTATTTTTACATCGAATCATTGGTTATTTTTCTATTGGGTTTTATTTGTTTATATACAGGCACGTTCACATATTAGAAAACAACAAACCCGACGACTTTACGGATGAAGGACAGATGAAACTTCAGCTTAAAATAATTCAACTTCTTAAACTAGATTTGCAGAAAGCCATAGAGTTTCATAACAAGATATTTATCAAGTAAGATTAATCTTATACTCATAAAGTATTAAAAAATACATTTTAAATCAATATAATTTATTAATTTAAAGGAAAATGCAATTTCCGTATGCCAGTACACTATTTTCAATATACGAATGTAAAATATCTGAAATGTGTGAGCCATTTATCACTCGCATTTGTATGAATATGAAGCCAATTAATTTTGAAGAAAACGGGCGGTTTCAAGTTGACAACGATCCGCTTGCAATGGGAACGTCACTTTTTGAACTTTATATGGGGATTCAGAAATTTGTCGAGTTATTTTTTTACTGTACTTTGCGTAATTTACAAAAATAACAAAAATAACATGGTTTTAAAAATATTTTTAGGTTAGGGAAAAAATAACTGCAATGTAGACTTTGAGACGAATAGTCATTTAGTCAAGTATCACTTATGGTTCCAACAAGGTGTTGCTAGGTGGTTGGATATTGCTGCGTACAAAGCCATGCAACGCATTGAAAGAGCTGTAGACTTGGACAAATTAGTCAAAGTGGACACATCAGTGGAATGTAGTTCATCAGCAGTCGACACATTAGCAATATTCTACCAAATAAAAGTGTTTTGGCAACAACTAGCATGGCCTGATGCCGAAGGTTCTTATTCATTCGTGGCAAAGATAATTGATGACATTTGCAGGTGTTCTGTATACTTTTCGGACAAAACAGCTTATAAAGTTAATAGTACTGTGATTGAAAACAAAAGATTCGAAGTCACTAAAGAAGTAATAAATAAATTTAAAAATATATGGGCAAATTAAAAAAAAAAAAATTTGACTAATAAAAAAAGTTTATTTAACTTAACTAAATAGCTTATTTTCTAATAAATCTAATAATTTATTAGTTTAAAATATCCATTATGATAATTTGGACTTTTCTAATAAAATAAAAATTATATTTATTTTTATTACTATACTTAGTTTAATTTAAACTCTTCATATTTTTTTTTTTTTTATCACTTTTTTACAATTATTATAAATTTAAGTAAATAAATATATATTCTTTGATTCAATAATTTTGTTGACATAAAATTATAACTGCATAAATCATAACAGCTTGTGAACAAAAAGGAAGAATTGGTAGTAGGATGTATTTTTAATAAAATGTTTAATCATTATTTAAAAAAATGTATAGGTATTTAACGCAATTAAGTTAACATTTTCCCCTATATTCGATTAAAATTTTTTGAGTTAAACATAATATTAGTAAATAATTAACTTATGAATTATCATTAACATGGTTATTTTTTTTTATTAATTTGCCCATTTTTTAGAATCGTACGATGGTTTAATTTTTATCGTGCCTTATCCTTTACCTTAAATTAATAATAAATATTATCTTTTTTAAACATTTTATAATTTTTAGTGGTGCTTAGCTGTAAACAATATAGACTATGTAAAACAATATATCCGGCCATTTGTAAATGATTTGGGTATAACACAGTTGATGGACAGTTTAGCAAACTATAAGAGTGAAATTTCAGCAGATCATTGTAAAAAAACACTGGATTTAGTCGTTGATAATGCAATTGATACAGTAAACAACAAAATTATAGATCTTTTACAGACAGTAGTGAACAAAGTATGAGTAAACTGAACATTTAAGAAAGAGAAAATTAACTTTTTTAATAGTTCTGTTTTAGTTATTGTTTTTTTTTTTTTTTTTAGATGTCTCCTGAAATAAGTAAATTTTTGATTGAAGGTGCAGAAGTTGTTAATACAAACAATAATCATTTGGACAATTTAATGCTATATTTGGATGAAAATCTTTGCACTTTAAGTAAGGAACTTAACGAAGAAAATTTTCAACGTATACTTGATATTATAGTTGATCAAATAGCAACAATAATGTATAATCTTATACAAAATAATTTAGAAGTAAGAAATTTATATAGTATTTATTTATTCAAATGATATTAATTATTTTTTTGTTTACACATTTTGATAAAAAAAAAAACCACCTACATATTTTAGGAATCTAAGAGACAGTTTTCATATGTTGTTTGGATTTTTGAGAAAAGATAATAATACTGAATATAAGAGTGAAACAATTCAAAAGCTTGAAGCATTATTGCACTTACATACGTTAGATACTGTAAACCTTATACATGAATATTATTTAGAAAGACTTCAAAAACAAAAGGAAATCCAAGAGGCTAATGAAGGAATATTAACTGTTAAATTGATATTTATTAACAATGTTCTCAAAGTAGATGTACTAAATGCAAATGGAATAAAAGCAATGGACTCTAATGGTATTTAAGTATAAATATTTTAGATAAACATGTATTTATTGACATGTAAATCAGAAGTTTCACAAAATATTGTTTTAAAGGTTTTAGCGATCCATTTATTAAAGTACGTTTGCTGCCCAAAGACAAATTTCAACATACCACTAAACCAACAACAGCAGTACAGAAAAAAACTTTGTACCCTTTATTTGATGAATGTTTTAAAATGTTTGTATTGTATAGCTTACAAAAGAATTTTTAATTTAACTAAGTAACAATTTAATCGTTAATTTGCTTACAGTTCTCTAACTCCTGAACAACGTACTGAAGAAAATGGTTTAGTTATGTTTATAGTAAAAGATCAAGATTTTATGGGAATGACAAATGAGTTTGTATCTGAAGCATTTATACATTTTAAAGATATTCCATTTACACAGTTAGAAAATGACTTAGGAAGCATACCACAAATTAAATTAAAGCTAACGTCTCCAAAATCTCTAGGTAATTATTAATAAATTAATTCTTATATTTTATTACTGAATGGATATAAATATTTATTATTTAAACATAGATTCAAAAATTCTCAAAGCTCTTGATACTAGATCAACAGACAAATTGGCAAAAGATTTTCTTAAGCGAGAAAAAATAAAAATTGCAGCAGCAAATTCAACGCCGAAAAAATGACTACACTCTATTACAGGGCGAATTAAGCATAATACGTCTACATTGATACGAAAACTTAAAAACTCATATTGATTTGCTGTATAAACATATTAGTATTTAAAATTTATCAAAATAATTATAATGTAAGACTGAATTAGGGATGACATTTTTTTTACATATTTTAAATTTAAATACAGTGCATGGCTGTGTTTCAATATAAATAAATATAAAAAAATAATAATTTTTAAGACTAAGTATAAAATATTTAATATGTTAATATATTTTAATTCATTTTTATTTCTATAAATAATTTTATATATTTTTTTAATTATTTTTTTGTGTTTGATATAGATATTGTATTAAATTATAACAAATAATTGGGGTAATATTAAGTAAATATATAAGTATACAAATTTTATATTAATAAATTGAACAAATATACATTTTTAATATTAAAATTGTTTTATTTTAAAAGGATATTGTATCCGCATGTATTGTCTCCATCTTACATTGTCAAAATATATGTTTAGCAATTCCAGTTTTGTGTGTTTAGCTTAAATATTAGAGTGAAATAACCTATTATTAAATTTAAAGCTAAAAAATTATCTGTATTTTTATGTTCATTAGTTTTTAAGTGAATTATAAACATTTTTAAATATTAATATTTTACTAAAATATTATAAAAACCATCAAGGGAATACAGATAATGTTTAAATCTTTAAATTTGATAATAAGTCATTTAATTCTATTATTTAACCTTAGGCACACAAAATTGGAATTGTTGAATTTACTTGGAATGTACCAATATTTTAGTATGGTCTTTTAATAAGACAGATACAACAAATGTGGGTATGGCATTCTTTAAATGCAAAATTAAAGAAAATTAGATGATACAATTTAATAAATTTGAGCACTTTCTAATAAATGTATTTTATAATTAAAAGCCAGTGCAAATCTCTGAATGATAATACCTATTCAGTTATTTTTGTTTAAATTGAAAATGAATACAACTGTCAAAGTAGGACGAAAATTCAAATTGTTAAATTAAATAGTATTGTTTTGCAGGGGCAGAAGAACCTATTGATTAATACTAAATAATGGCATGGAATTTATAAATGTGTTTTGATTTTAATTAAATTAAATTTAGACTTCTTGAACTTGTCATTCTCTTCTTGTTTACATAAATAATACAATGTTAGTAAATAAAATATATTTACAATACAAATATTTTTAATTGTAGTGGGTAGATACGAAAAAATAATAAATAAGTAATCAGGTAGATATATAAAATAAAAATATTTAATCAGAGTTCAAAAAATATATATACATAAATTATTTTCAATAATAATATATTAAAAAATAAAGTAATTAAATTAATTTTTATTATAATAAGCTATTTAGAAATTCTATTAACAATACAAATGTGAGTAGACGTAAGAAGTTATACTTAGAGAATAGTACCCATATTACTTTAGTTTATGACTGATGTACTTAATAACTAACTTGTAAGTTATAATAAAAAAACCAAGTTACAAATTTTAAACATTTTAAATATTATAAGTAGTAAGTATTAACTCCATATTTCAACTATTTAAAATAGTGTAAACAATAAAATCTCTTATTATTTCATACTTCATTAAAAAAAATATTAGAATATAAAATTAAGATACTTATAGTACAGACAGAATACATAAATTTATATTTTATAAATGTATTTTAATCTTAAATTATTTTGTAAATAAAATCCCTTTTGCTCACAAGTCACAATTCATCCTTTTGATTATTTTTTTGATAAACAGGAAATGCCCAAAATTCACTAGGTAGACTATTTGAATCTCTTTCACGTTTAACAAAAGCACTGAATGAAGATATACAATTGCCAATAAAATAATCTGCTTTGCCTAATATTGCAAGATCTACATGCGGATTATCTTTATCGTATTTTACAGTTTTCAAATTAAAACTTGATAATGCATGTGATAGTTCAGGGATTAGATGATTATTATCAGATGCTACAAAAACTGTGCTTATGTCATTGCCATATTTTCGAATAAGTCTTTTAAGCTGTTTTACAACTGTTTCAAATGTTGGATAGCATAGTTCTTCTGTGGCTTTTCCATATTCATTTCTATAACCTAAGCATTGTGGAGCTGAGAACAATAAAGAGTTCTTAGAGATATGTTCACAAGCCCTGACCCAATCAATACCATTGCGCAAATGAATACCAATAAATTTTCCAGGCTTAATTCTATTATTTATAAAAGAATTAACTAAGTTACTAATTCTATCATTCCATTTTAAGTACTTATGAATCTCGACATTTTCTTTTTGTATTGGAAAACTTGCTGGAGCACCAACAAATGCCAATACTGGCCATTCAGATGATGGATACTTTTCGTGCCATTTAGATATCATATCATGATGGTATACATCATAGTTTAGAGGGGCATAAAATTCAGATGATGAAAAATCAATGCCATATGTATCCCAAAATGATTCAAAAGGATTCCCTGTTTTGGCATTACATCCTTCTAATTCACCTCTTTGCATATAACAAAATGATGTTCGACTTGCTGGAGGCCAAATATCATTTGAATATTTAGTCATAAAGTCATTCATTAACTGAACTCTGTGATATTCTAAAAGTGGATCTACTTTGAAGTAAGTATCAAATGAAATTTGTACAGACTTCTGTTGGCCATAGCGGTATTCAATCCAATGAGGCAATAAGAGTGTGCGATTTAAAGCTTTAGCAAAACCAATGGCACCCAGGAAGTGGTCAGCTTGATTTCCAAAACGACCCATGCATGGGCAGTAGGCTATGTAACCAGAAGGATCTTGAGTAAATGCAAAATTTAAAAAATACATACCAAAAAATAGAAACAATAGACAAGTACCCATGTTTGATTAAAATTATGAATAAAGATAACTAAAATAGACAACTAGATTAAATAAATATACTACATTACATTAATAAAGAATACAAGTATAAATTTTCTAAGCTTACATTGAAAATGTACAAAACAAATATTAAAATGTAGTAATAAATAACTGTATAATGATTTAAAATTTATTACAAATTAATAAGTAATAACTATAAATTATAAATATATATAAATTATTATTAACTGTGTACCTAAATTTATAAAATATAAATGACAAAGGTATTTACTATTTAGTTTTTACTTTTTGCCCGTTATAAAGATCTCGGTATGGATATTTTGAAAACAAATTTAGTTTTTTGATAACGATAAAACAGAGATAGCATTTAAAGATTTAAAATTTAATATAGTGGTAGGAACAGAACAGAATATAGAACAAAGACTGTAAAATGTTTTAGGTGATTTTGCTGGTCATACTGTATAGTTCAATGGCACGGTGATGGCCGACGGATGAAAAAGGTACTAAATACTAAATAGCATGATAAACGTGTAAAAAAAGTTGATTCGTTGTGTTGTCGAACTGTCCACTGACTATCTAGTTAGTGCCTAGTGAGTAGTGGTAAAATTATTAATATGCCAACAATTTGGCAATTAAACTTATTAAAATAATAAAATCAAAAACTGCCAAATTATTAACATAATACATACAGTAATATCATTTATTTTAAATTGATACATTTTTTAATTAAAAACGGTTTTGTGCAATCGCGTAGTGTAAAAATGTCTTCAAAAGCTGAAAAAGACAAACAGAAACAAATACAAGATAGATGTTTATCGTTGCTGAATCAAATGTTAAAAGATGATGATAATAAGTATTGTGTGGACTGCGATTCCAAAGGTAAATACTAAATAAGCATACACTTTTACATCTATAATTAAGTGTTGTAATTTGTGTATATTTTATATTTTGTGCAAATGACTTTCTCATAAATGTACACAAAATAAAATAATTAAATTAATATTACTATTTATGAAATATTATCTAATTTAGGACCTAGATGGGCTTCTTGGAATTTAGGAATATTTCTGTGCATAAGATGTGCAGGTATTCATCGTAATCTTGGGGTACACATTAGCAAAGTAAAATCTGTGAATTTGGATTCTTGGACTCCCGAACAAGTGGTGGTATGTACACATTATTTATCTTAAGTGAATTAATTATATTGTTTTTATAAAATAAAAAATTTTATAATCACAGAATTTGCAACAAATGGGAAATAGTCGAGCCAGAGCTGTATACGAAGCAAATCTACCAGATAATTTTAGACGCCCACAAACTGATTCTGCATTAGAGGCATTCATTCGTTCAAAGTATGAACACAAAAAATACATTGCCAAAGAATGGGTTCAACCACCATTACCTAAAGTAAAAATGTCAATAATTTCATTAATATTATTATTTTTGCTGCATTAAACTATTGAAATAAAATTAATAAGTAGTTCATTATTAAAATCATTTATTTTTATGTCCTTATAATTCAATTAATTTATAGTGATGAATATCAGAAAAATTTTATAATTTTTTTTTTTTATTTAAATATGTTTTATACATTCTATATTGATACAAAGTTGCTGACCCTAGATTTTTAGTGTGAGTAGTTAACCTGTCTTGAAACTTTTGATAGTAGAGCTTGGCTTCTTTATTTAGTATCTTTAGATTTATTTCTTTGTGGAAAATATGATTTGATACATAAAGAAGTGCATTTGATAGTTTTCTTAGGGAAATTTTTTGAAAAGTTTAAATTTTGTTTAAGTTTGACTTTTTTGCATTTCTCCATAATTGTATTACATAGATATAGACGAGTTTAAGAAGGGATTTATACACGAGAAGTTTAACATTCAAATTTCAATAAGAGTATTATTACTTAACAGAATTTTCAACATTTGTAGTTCATTATTTAAAGTCAACCTTTTAGATTGAATGTGAGAGGCCCAAGTGTATTAGATTTAAGGTGTGATTAAGATACTTGACTACTAGAGAATAGATAATTGGGCTTCCGTATAAGGTGATATTGGGGCTAGGAGTTAGGAGTACCGAGTAAGTCTTAGAGTAAAAGTTTTTGTGTCAAATTTTATACTTGACATTTAATAATTTCTGCATACATTTAAAATTAAAATATATATTTTTAAATAATAATTTAATGGTACTTATATTTAAATAAAATCAACAAAAACTAATAATTGGTCCAATAATTAATATTATAATTTTTATAACCTAACGTTTGTGACTGATATATTGTATTTTAAACAATTTTATTAATATTCAGCAAAATTTTGTCAATACTTAAGATTGATTTTTAAGAAATTATTATAATCTAATGATTAAAATAATGTCGAATATCTGTATATGTATTATCATAAACCATAATTATTTTTAATTTGAATATATAAACCATATAAAATACAATCTTATACATGAAAAAGTATTATATAGATACATAATATATTTTTATTTCAATAAAAATTATTTTAAGAATTGAAATTAATTTTTTTACTTGAATTTTTATGTTATATTTTTAGGTCAATTGGGATAAAGATTTAGAAGAAGAAGCTGAAAAACAGAAGAAAAAAAAGCGAGAACCAAAACCTGGGTCAATTATGCGTAGTGTGCCTTCAATTGTACCAAATCCATTACCTAAACCTATTTCCTTAAGCCCAAAGTTATCATCAAACAAGAAACCAATTTTAACTGATTCAAATCATTCCACTGATCTTCTTGGTTTAGGTAAATAATAAAATTTAGTCTAAAATTATTTAAAATTGTTTAAATAAATAAATTATTTCTATACAGATACTCCTACAAAAGATTCAAACCCTACATTGATAGATACGTCCTTCACATCTTCCAGCTCAGATTCAACTGATCCATTTAGCAGTTTTTTAAGTGCATCTGTTTCTTCTACTACAACTTCTCCTCAAATTCAACAAACTATTGACCCTATGTTAGGTCGATCCACTGAAGAGGAAAATTTTTTCAATCAACCAACAGCAGCTACAAAAAATAAACTTACTACTGATTCTATCTTGGCACTATATGAAAAAACATCATCTCCAAATAATAAGACCACAAGCCAATATACAAGTATATACATTTTACATATAATATTGTATTAATATTAAAAACATTTTTATTTGTGTTTTAGGTCAAAATAACGGTTTTGTTCCTCAGCCACAGCAGCCATTTTTTAACGCTTTCAATAATAATGGTTTCCAAACTATGCAACAGATGCAATCCATCAATAATCATGTACGATTAAGTATAAATAATTTACTTTATTTTAATTATGACTAACAATCAAACTCTTTGTTTATTAATTTAGGGGAATTCTATCAATTTGTTATCCAATAGTTCTATTGATTTTAACAAATTCCAGTCATCAACAAATTCTAATTTTACATCAAATCCATTTTATAATATGGCTGCAAAAAATGGATCAACTCAATTTAATCATGTAAGTAATTATTAATATTTATTATTTAGTAATTTTGTAGTTATTGAATTCTTAAGATTTAAATCGTTTAAAGTAAAAATAAGTTAGAATTTAGTTTTATTTTTTTCAATGCACATTGTTTTTAAGTAATGTGTTACTTATTTTCTTAGTTATTAAATTATTTGAAATGAAAAATGTATAATTTTATTTTATTGTATATACAATAAATAATAACAAAATACATTAAAATTATTATTGACATCCTATTAAAATAACTAATATTTAAATATTTATTTTACAATTAAAATAAATGTAATTCTTTTCATTTTGAATACAAAATAATTTATAGTACCTATAAATTCCACATTTATTTTCTAAATTATTTTGTTTTATTTCTATACTTGATTCACAGCTAACATATTAAATATATAAATAATACTATTTTTTTAAATTCTTAGTAACTTGGGATAATAAATTCATTTATTTACATATATTTATTAAAAGATAAAAAAAAAAAAACAAATTTTAATTGGGCTTTATAATTTTTTATTTTCCTTTATTTTGAGTAAATATTTATAAATTTGTACTTAAATATTTTATAATTTTAAATTAAATCTAAGTTATTATTAATGTATATTATTGATTTATAAAAAAAACTTTGGTAACATTTATCATTATATTTTTTAAATTTAATACTAATTAACTAAATTTAGTGTACATTCATTATTTTGAAATAACTTTTTTATCATTTTATTTCATATCACAACAATATTTTTGAAGAATAATTTATTATCATTATTATTTTTTAAATATTTAATTTTTGTTATTAATATTTACATTTTTGATTTCATATTTTGCAGCAAATTAGTCTTTAGAGTATTTCAATATATACAAATTGATTTTGAAATGAGTTAATTAGTTTATATGTATTTAAAGTTTAGGTAAACAGAGTAATGGTCCAGAGGTACTCTTCAAAATGTTGGTCTACTACTTCATTTGTTTAAATTTTAAATACTATAAGTTATAGCTTATAAATTATTTCAAGATTAGATTTTTATAGAATATAATACTTCAAATAATATTCTGTTTCAAAATATGAAATTAAAAAGTATAGTGTCATTTAAAAAAGTAAAAATTTAAAAATGATTACAATAATAATAATAAAAAAAAATTATTTTCAAACAAGTTAAATGTTAATATAATGATTGTAGAGCAGTAGTTTTCAACTTGTGCGTCGCGACTCCTAGGAGCGTCGAAGGAAGTCGCTGTAGAAACTAAAAATAAAATTGTAATACATTAAATATTAAAATTATTATTATTTTATTAATTTTTTAGTTGTAAAAAAATAAATCTCAAAAAAAATAAATATTTCATCATTAAATAATGTAATTTGTTTTTTTTTTAATGTTCGTATGGGAGACATATGTTTTATTTTTAAATTTAAAGGAGTCGTGGACCCAAAAAGGTTGAAAACCACTAGTGTAGAGGTTTAAATAAATCATTTAGTAGGTATATATTAAATTATTAAATTTAATTTATATACAGTAAAAGCCATTTATTAGGAACATTTTAGAACTAAGGTGAAACATGTCAATTAACTAATTGTTTGATGTTTACTATGAAAAAAAATGAAAAATAAATATTTAATACATATGTGTTTAAAAAAATATACAATATATTATTTACTATGTATGTATATAATTCTTATACATTTTTAAATTTATATTTATTAATTTTTTAATTTTGATTTTTGCGTCTATACTTTCATATGAGTAATGCTGCTTAAAGCCTTTTTTATCTGCACAGTGTTGGACTGCTCTCCTGGGGACACTTATAGGTTCTACAATTTTTTTACTTGGTGGGGGTGTCTCTAACAAAAAACAAATACATGTAAGAAAGAATATTCTTGTATAGATACTGTACTTACGATAAAGTACAGTAAAAATAAATGTCACAACAGCAAAGATAAGATTAAAGTACATTGGTTATCACCAAATAACTGGTATATATGCCAACTGACCTTTGCCTAACTGTTTCAAATTACCAATGTGATGTTTTAATATTGTGATTGTATCAATTATCTGTGTTCCTATAAGCGGCTTCTACTGTTTATATATACATTAAATAAATTAGTTATTCATTAGGTCTAGGGTTGATTCAATGTGTGTATCAAAGGTTTTTAAAGATATTGAGGTTTAGTCAGTCTGTTTGGTATTGGTAGCATTCAGTGAATATATGTTTAATGGTGAGACTAAAACTACAGAATTATTCATTTAACGAGTTTTTTTTTTTTTTAGTCATTAAGAAGTTGGTCTTTTTATAAATAATATTTTTAATTTTTGTCTAGACTTGACAAATTATCTATTTAAATTATTTTTTGCTTAACCGCTATGAACTTAAAACCTAATAGTCAACAATCAATTTTCAAATTTGTTTACATTTGCTTCTGAGTTCTAACTGTAACTTAATAATTTTCCAGCTGATAGTAGATACAATTGCTATTACTTTTTATGCATAGGGAAGTGGTGTGTCTTAGCTCATTTGAATTTATATCATAAACTCCATGTACCTCCTTATGAATTTGAGTCCTATTAAATTATTATAACCATAATCAGGGGTAGAGTGTCCCACTGGGATACCGAGAAAAATCTTGGTGGCCTGGAAGCTAAATGGCCCGTTGGCCTGAAGAGTATAGATAGAAAAAAAAAATTTTTATTTTATTCAATAGATGAAAATATTGAATAGCCTGGAGGAAATTTATTTTCCTAGTCCAAATTTTTTTCCTATTCTGCCCCTGACCATAATAATTTGTTTAACCAATTATGAAGTTACAATAAATTATTTAAACAAATATATTCTGTAAAGCAGTTTAACTATTTATTTTGAATTGTGCATACTTATTAGTTTATATGCTATAACCATTAACTATGTTTATTAATTTGTAATTAATAGTTAATACCCATATAATTTTTACTTGTAAATATACTTTTAGGAGGAACCTGTAGTGAAAAATAATCAATTTTCAGCATTTGATTCTTCAAATGATGTAGTTCATGTAAGTAAATTTACTTTTAAATAATGTCTTAATTATTTAATTTTTCTTTTCTTCAAAATTCTATTTTTCTAGTTGCCGCAACAAATGACAATGCTGAATTTGGGACATCCAAAAACAGTTACGTCAACTGTTAATGGTTTTACAGACTTTTCTAATGAATTTACAGACCTTTCTAATGGCTTTACAGACCTAGCCAAACCATCACAGACTGGCCAAACGCTTTCACCTAATTTATGGCAGTAGTTACAGTTGATTGATTGTTCATAATAATTTTGTTACATTATCATTTTAAATTTAATACAAGTTAAATTGAGATATCTTTTTATTGAAAAAATTAATTTATAATTGTAATTTGTAAACTACGAGATGATTTATTTATATATTACGCGTCTTTATAACGCTCTGCTTTACCTATATAGTATATACTCACAGAACCGTCCAATAAATGGAACTTGGTATGTAAATAATAAACGTTTAGTAAACCATGCTTAAATATCTGAAATGATCTACTGCTATATTCGAAACGAAAAATATTACGATTACTCTAATGATAATTTATTGGTTTACATATAATAATGAAATTGTATTTCAATGAATTGCACTATAATTGTACACTCATAAAATTATTAAACTATTATGATTCATGAACCTCTTTTTAATATGCTGTGTGATAATAAAAAAACATGCAAAATATTTATAATTTATGTACACATTTTTAATAAATTAAAATACCTATATAATTACTATGTTAGTTAATATTTTATTATTTAAAAATTAATCAAAGCAAAAAATATTCAAATAAAAAAATTAATAACATAAATAAAATAGCTCTGGTAAAATAATTTTTTTTTTTTTAAGTGTATTTATTATTTAGTGGATTTATTGAAATTCAAATTGGTAATTTACAAAATTGAAAATATATTTAAAAATTTTATTAGTCATAATTGATATTTTAAGTTTTTGTGCAATTATATATTTATAATTATAATTAGAATGTAACTTATACAATTGTATTTATTATTATGTTTTTTTTTTTTTATTAAAGTCAAGTTATCTATAAATGGTGGATTAAAAAACTATTATATCAACAAGTTTTTGGGATTTATAGTATATTTTGATAAAAATGTCATGTACACTATTTTATTAGATTTCATACATTAACTAGAGTAAGTGTTAACAAGTTAAATATCCACACATTGTGACATTAGCAATATAATGCAACCAGATGAGGTAAAAATAGCATGTTCGTGGTATCTTACCAGTAGTAAATTATAGTTATCATAAACCTTTTTTTTCGATGTATAAATTAAAGTATTTAAATTTGTCTTTTTGACTTGAAAAGTGTTTGAAAACAATTACTAATTCTCTTCTAAATTTTTAAAGTAAAGTTTGTTGAATATTTTACATTTTTTATATTTCTTATTTTTAGCAATTCATTTTTTTTTATAAATTAAAAAAAAAATAGAAAGACGATCAGTAGATAAAAGATAAATTTTAATCTGTCTGTAAAATTAATTTTGCTTTAATACCAATATTAATATTATAAATTGCATAAATATATCAAAGATAACAAACTTTTCTATGCCAACATGTTAAATAAAAAATATTGGTTGGATTTTATTTTCTCCACATGTTAAATAAAACAATCTAATATTTAAAAAAAAATTATTAACAGATAAATTTATTTCTGATAAACAAATATATATTATAATTTTAATATTTTTAATTTTAAACGTTTAAATAATAAAATTGTAATCATTTAAACAAAACTATTTTAAAGACATTTTAAAAACTTGTTGAAAACATTTTAAAAAAAAAACCGTTATAAACATAAAACAATTTAGTTCTAAATGAATAAGACAATAGAATTAGGTTTTAATCGAAAACAATGTATTTTAGTATTTAATAATATTGTGTGTATAAAATATAATTACATAGTTTAAAGTTATATGTCCCTCAAAGTAATGTTATTTAAACTATAAAAAATAATGAATATTTTTATTCATAGTTTAACTATATGTAATTTAGTTCAAATTTGAACTGAAAAAGTTTAAAAAAATAAATTGTACCATTGATTATAAATATTAATATTAATATTTATAATCAATAGTTGTGCTTATGTTTTAAAAAAATGTTATACATCTACAAGAACATTGAACAACTTGTATGGAATATTGTATTACATTTTCAAGCTTTTTGATAAAATGAAAAAAAAAATATCAACATTTATAGAAATAGAACTAAAATAACTGAAATTGTTATCATTAAGGCTAGGAGTTATATGCAATAAAAAATTGTAAAATATACAATTAATATTATATACGCCGAAAAATATTAAATATACCTAAAAAAAAAATCATACGTTTTAAAATTAATTAAATAATATTCTCAACTATTCACGCTATTCAATTAATGCATTAAACAAAACAATTACATGTTGTTTTAAATTTTCAAAACTGGACGATCCTCTGTTAGGTATACCTTCAATAGGTATTTTTGAACAGCGTAAATACATACTGTCGCATGATAAAAACGTCTAGTAACGAAATATAGGTACCATAAAATATGCATTTTGTCCAAAATATGCAAAGTAAAATTACCACTATTAATCTCATCACGAGGTTATTCGTGGACATTACTTACAAAAGCATTAAGCAATGATAAGAAGTTGCAAAAAAAAATATACTTTTGCATATAAATCTTGCCCTAATTATCATGTATAGAAAATGATTATACGTATAAATATTTGTTGAAAATATTTTCGTTATTTATTTTTTAATTACAATGAAAAAGTTTAAAAAGAAATAGATTTTATGGGTGTCGGCCGTCGGGTGAATACGAATTTCGTAAAAATTTGAACTTCACTCTTAAAAAATTAAATAGACACCAGAAGAATTTTTTTTATGAGAGTTAAGCAATTTATAAAAATCTTATATTAAAATTTCAAACCTTAGTTATAAAAAAAAAAAAAATAAAGAATTTTGTAATTACAAAATAATTATGAAAACATTATGAAGAACTTTGTATTAATTTTTCAGGCATTTTTACCCATTGAATAATTTTTTAGCAAAATATGAAAAAGTAAAATAAAAAATTTTAGATGTTTGTTAATAGCTCCAAAGATCCAAAATATTTTTAAAATTATATTATGTATAGAAAAATCAAATGAACATATAAACATAAAATTAATAAACATATCACATTTATAGCTTTAAAAATTATATTTTTTCTTTAAATATTTAATTTTAATAATTTTATATTATCTCTCTATAAGTTTTAAATGAATTTGATATCACTTTATTGTAATCTAATCTACAACTATGATAAAATGAGTCTCTTTCATCTTAATTCTTAATGATTAGAATATAGAAACAGTTAAATATAATAATTTGTGTCCTTAGGTAATTATGAAAAATATTCACTGAAAAACATAATTTTCGAAAAACCTTCAAAATATGTAGGTACTACAAGCTAAAAATAGGCTCTTATAATTAAAAAATATGTCCTTTAAACAAAAAAATGTCATAATATGCAAAAATATGCACTAAAAACTTTGAGATTTTGGTCACAAACGTTGTGAAATGTATTGTGTTCTTACTCTGCATCGAAAAAATCAACCAGAAAAAATATGCGAATGCATTAAAGTCCTTGCTCTAATAATATTATAATAATATTAATATATTTATAAGCTAATAACCTTATTAATTTAAGTTGTATCATGTATAATATAATCTATATAATGAGTTATAAAAAAAAATATTTTTTTCAGCAAAGAAATTTCCTAGAGGAAAGAAATAAAATGAATAAGTATAAGTACTGTGATAGCTTGACATTAATATTACAACACATTTTTAAAAATAAAGGAAGGATTTACCATCTGATCCAGTACTCGATTGGTCATTAAGTGGTGCAAGAAAATTCAAAACTTCATAATCATTAAAAATAATACACAAATTTAAATTAATACCATGTAACTGATTATTATGTAATTCGTGACTTATCATTATTTATATTATTGGTTGCGTATAACTACTGAAGATAAATAGGTTGGTACTTATATTTTTTTATAAGCATTCAAGCATAAATTCCGACGAAATTTGTAAAATTTCGGAAATTTACATTTTATTCTACAATTGAAAGTTCATAATTTTTTTTTTTTTTTTTTATATATAGATTTGAAAATTTAATACAAGATTATGTATAGATTAAATCTTTATCAAAAAAAATTTCTACTGGAAAGTGAAATCAATTACTTATGAGTTATGACCGTTTGTAACTTAAATTTGAATGAAACTACATGTTTACATAATTTATAAAAAATAATATTCCTTATTTTGTTTAGTTCAAAAACATTTTTTGGGGGGGATAAACAACTTTAACGTATGTTATTTTATTTTATACACGCAATGATACAGTGATACACGCATGCAATATATTTGTCAATTATTAAATTAACACATCATTACACTAATAATAAAACTAATAACTTTAGTAATATCAAAAAAAAAAAAATCATGATATCTATTTAGTGATATAGATAATAATAGACCGTCTTCGCTCAGTATTATTTTTCGTATATAATTATGTCATTGAATTCAAATTTAACATTCTTGTCTCCTATAATAATTACCCACTCGTCATCAGCCGTACCCACTTACCTACCTTTTTTAATACCTACATGATTTGAAATAACTTTAAAATATGGTTTTCTATTTTTCTTATAAATTAGAAAATATAATTTAATTGGGAATTATTCTTGTTTACATTTTTATTTGCTGTTTTTGCTATCAAATTAGATTTCTAATAAATAATAAATATTAAGTTAATTATATTATGATTAAATCAAATCTTAGAAACCAGAATATCTAACGCATACTTGTAAAAAATATTATACAGACTACAATTGAAGTGTCTTAGAAGGATATACATGTATTTTGAATTTATAGAAAATTAAAAACACAGTTAATATATTACTTTTCAATTATCATTTGTATAAACAGTTTAAACTAGTTGATATTTTAATAGGAAATATGTTTGAACATTCAATTTTATGAATATGCAAACGTTAACCCTTATTAGTTATTATGAATTTAACTTTTTTTTTTAATCATCTTGGATCAAAATGTCGTATTACGTTGTCCTATTTTTATAATGTAGCCATTAATTAATATGTGCACTGTGTAAGCATTATGCATAAATACATTAGTTAATATGATTATTAGACTGAGTATAATATTTTATTTTTGATTTATTATAATTTATAACCAATGTTTAGTGTTGTGTATAAAATTAACGTATTATAAATTATAACATTA